CTCTTGAAAGATGTGGACATACATAACGAATACACATACAAAAAAAAAAATAAAAAAAAATAAAAAAATAAAATAAAAAAATATATATTTATAGAAGATACACGACAGGTTAAAGTTTTCCCCCACCACCGAACATATTCCCTTAGGTCAGGCGGTTTTCTCCCTGACTCTTGCTGTTAATACGGCGTGAACTCAGTAATTTTCCCCGTCAGGACAATGGCTACTCGGTCCATGTTATTTTCACGGTCAATTCTTTTGTTTTTGAGCTATTTTTTGTGTGGTCTTTGGAGCGTACTATTGTTCTACCATCTTTCTTTCTGAGAGAGAGAGAGAGAGAGAGAGAGAAGAGAGAGAGAGAGAGAGACCTTTCTTGTTCACTATTTATCAACTCGTGTTTCGTTCAAGAGTTCCGTGTTCACTGTATTCTCTTTTATGGCGTCTCTCGGGGTATTGTGATCTGTACAAATGTTTCCTACTCTTATTTTTATTAAAGTAATCAATTCCTATTTAATAATAATAATAATAATAATAATTGGTTTATTGAAAAAGTTCTGCAGCCCGAAGGCTGAAAATATACATTGGGCATAAATGACTTATTACATACATTGGTGGTTTAACAAAAGCCTTCATTAGAGAAAGGTAAAGGAACATACAGTGAACATACAGATTAATGTAGGTGTTGAACAGCAAAAACGTAGTGTAGTAACTCCCTCCCAGATGGTGTTAGGAGGGACCTCACGTGGTGTAGTAGTTCCCTCACAGATGGTGTTATGAGGGGCCTCACGTGGTGTAGTAATTCCCTCACAGATGGTGTTATGAGGGGCCTCACGTGGTGTAGTAATTCCCTCCCAGATGGTGTTAGGAGGGACCTCACGTGGTGTAGTAATTCCCTCACAGATGGTGTTATGAGGGGCCTCACGTGGTGTAGTAATTCCCTCACAGATGGTGTTATGAGGGGCCTCACGTGGTGTAGTAATTCCCTCACAGATGGTGTTATGAGGGCCTCACGTGGTGTAGTAATTCCCTCACAGATGGTGTTATGAGGGGCCTCACGTGGTGTAGTAACTCCTTCACATATGGTGTTATGAGGGGCCTCACGTGGTGTAGTAATTCCCTCACAGATGGTGTTATATGAGTGAGGTGTGGTTCCAGGCCTTCCTATCGTAGACGGATTAACACATCGCTGGTAGTTGGGTCTCACGGGCCGTTATCACTGGGTACCTGGGACCTCACTGTGTGAAAGGTCAACTTGGGTACCACTGTTACTGTTGAGTTGTTCTCACTGACTTAAGCACTGTTCACCACTGTTCACCTCTGTTTAACACTGGTTCCATTTCTTTCCTAAATGAAATAGTAACTTCTGGCGTGAACTTGTTGATATTCCGGTGGGGAGGAGGGTTCAGGGGAGGGAGTTGGTATGGGCCAACATAGCAGTTGACCTGGCTGCTCCGAGGAGCGCCAGGTACGGTATGTATGTATGTATGTATGTTCAACCACAAGATCCAGGCTTCCTAAAAATATAACAAAACTATATTTTTTATCCATTCAAATAAGACAAATTAGTTTAACGGCGGGTAGCTCCATGGTAGCAACCCCGTCTCTTGTGTTGTTAGCCCCGGGTTCGATCCTTACTAGTGAAGGTACTGTATATGGTTGTATGAGTGTATATATATATATATTTTTACTGGTGTATAGATAGGTGTAAGTGAGAAGAATTGATGAGAAATTGGATAAATAGTAGAGAGAGAAAGGGGATGGATTTGTTAGTGGAAGAGATTGATGAATGTGAAGGAAATAGCAATGGAGAAGAAGGGAGAGGGAAGAAAAGATTGAACGGATGAGGGATAGAGTAAAGGAAGAGAGAGAGAGAGAGAGAGAGAGAGAGAGAGAGAGAGAGAGAGAGAGAGAGAGAGAGAGAGAGAGGAGAGAGAGAGAGAGAGAGAGAGAGAGAGATCGTGGAACAGAGGGATAGAGAAAATATAAGGAATAAGATAATATAGTCGAAAGAACAAAACAGGAGGAAGAGAGCAACAGAGAGAAACAGAAAGAGAAAAGAAAAGGAGAAACAGAGAGAACTGATAATTTTTTTCATTTGGGTGATTAATTCGAGGCTTCTGTTCCCCTCGTGGTTGTCAGCTCTATATAAGGTCGAGATAACTGGCCACACAACAAAGACCTTGTCCCTCACGTTCCAATTTGATGAGACTATTGTTTTAGTTAAGAGGGGGGTCCATTGTGTGTGTGTGTGTGTGTGTGTGTGTTTTACCTATATTATCAACAAAATGAAACTTCCTAATCATTCTTTCAGGAAATAGTAACTTGGGCTCTTAAGTAATAAGGAAAATTAAGAGAGTAGGAAACTTAATATCCTGAGTTAGGAATAAAAAGTAACTTATCAAACTTTAAGTATCCAGGGAAAAACTTAGGAAATTCGTTATCTTCACCGAGGAAAACTTAACTTAGGAATATTTAAGACTTGTTACCTAAACGCAGACTGACTTTATTTACTGGAGAGACAATCTGTATGTGTATCTTGTGTGTAGTCATTATCTCTCTCTCTCTCTCTCTCTCTCTCTCTCTCTCTCTCTCTCTCTTGTGTCCAGTTACAATATCTCTCTCTCTCTCTCTCTCTTTCTCCTTTTCCTTCCTTTCTTGTGGGGATTCTCTACGCTCTGTTCCTTATCACTCTCTCTCCCTCTTTGTCCACCTTCCTTTATTCAATTCTTCTCTCTCCATTTCTCCCTCCTTTCATATCGAGACTCTCTAAATTTTTTTATCGTTCTTTCTCTTTGTCTACCTTCCTTAATTCCATTCTTCTTTCTCCATTCTTCTTCAATCTTTTTCCCTTACCCCATCCCACTTCATCTAGTCCCTTATTCTTCTTCCCTATCCTTACTCTTCTTTCATCTCCTGTTCCCTCTCTTCCCCTACCCTTCCATTGCATCTAATCCTTACTCCATTACTTCTCCACCTCTTATTCTCATACTTGCTTTCCACCGATTTATCTAACCCTTTTTCCTCTTCCACAATTCTCACTCTCTTGCCTTATTCTTTCCTCTATACTAATCCTTTCTTCTCCTTTTTCATTCTCGTCCTCCATAATTCTCCTTCCCTCGTCTCATCCTTCTTCCTCCCTCCTCCTGATCTTTCTCTGCTCCTCATCCTTCTTCCTCCCCTCCTCCTGATCCTTCTCTGCTTCTCATCCTTCTTCCTCCCTCCTCCTGATCTTTCTCTGCTCCTCATCCTTCTTCCTCCCCTCCTCCTGATCCTTCTCTGCTTCTCGTCCTTCTCTCCCAACTAGATATTGGAAATGGACTAGAGGCTAAATCTTATATGTCGACCACCTGATTGATGAAGGCTGTGTGTGTGTGTGTGTGTAGAGAGAGAGAGAGAGAGAGAGAGAGAGAGAGAGAGAGAGAGAGAGAGAGAGAGAGAGAGAGAGAAAACAGCACCAAGTAAATCAATCACTCTTCGTCTGGTATCTTTTCACAGTCACACAACTCCTGCAGTAATAAATTTAACTCTCGTATCAAGATCCTCCTCCTACGGCGCCCGAAATCAGGAGGTAGTATGACAGGAGGTGTAGAATATGGGATGGGAGTGGTATCGCTAAGGTGGCTAAGCTTTGGGTGAAATAAACTGGGGTGTCTAATCATCTTCAGGTGTCCCAAGTATCTATTGAACACGTTTGGCTCATTTTTATATCATAATCATAAAAATCGTCTACTAACATATGCTACATTCCACTCCTCTGTCAGTCTGTGCTTATGTTATCACACACACACACACACACACACACACACACCTAAACTGGCATCAACACGGCAGAGAGAGACAATGTGTTGAGCAGAAATATGACCACAACAGTGCCTCCCCCTCCCGCCACCACACACACACACACACACACACACACACACCACAAGCGCCGACTCTCGCCTCAACAATTATTAAGTGGGCCAGCGTGTATCTTTACTCATACATGGTCGACTGTCGCGATAGTGTCACCCCTCCTCTGTACCTTCCCGGATGTTCCAGGTGATTTTTTTTGAAGGAGAAATGGTTCATAATAGAAACGATGGGGTTGAGGATTCAGGTATATTTCTGCCTTAGGTTATGATACCATCTAAGTCGGTGTCACCATACGGCAATGACTCAACCATGACATCTACCATGGTATCTCGGTTAGGTTCACACATCTTATACCGGGCGATCTATTTATATCAGACACGCTTACTGTATATTGTATATAAGTATAAATAATATCCGCTTGTTCAAATAATTTCTCAGTATAACAGATGAAGCTCTGCATATTTGAACTATGTAACATTACGATGTGCCAACACGTAGTAATACCGTTGAACTTTACACTAAATACGTCTCTGTTGTTCAAAGTGAAAAAGAATTCAAAAGGGAATTTAATATCAGAGATGCCTGTGTCATAACACCATTCTCTCCTTAGTTAAAAAAAATGAAGGTAGTGTTTGTTCATCTAAGCACGTGGCAACACAAGAAAATCACTACAGCAGCTGCAACAATCGATCGAAGTTCAAATAAGCTGATCTGCCACCTTCCAGCAGGTAAGTCGCGGGCGTATACTTCACAAACATCTTCACCCAAGACCAAACAAAATCCGTGCTGGAACATCGTATCATTTCTAAGTTAAAATCTTCAGGACTTCAATTGAAACACTGAAAAATAATTCCTGAAAATATACATATATTTATTTTTAATACAGTTCAAGACAGCTATCGAACGTATTAGGGTGAAGGGAGGGATCCCTATCATATATGGTGCCTAGGAGAGTTGGCAATGAATGGTTGTCAAGGGCAGTTGGTGTCAACGGCCGTCTTGGCAGATATTGCAAGTCAATATTAGTATCATTCATTGACAACTTGGACAACTTTTACAGCAGAAGGGACCTTTATGCTAGGGATGGGGTACACTTGTCTAGGGATGGGGTGGCAACCCTGGCTGGTTCTCTCGTGAGAGCAGTTCAAAAGATGTCGAAGTCTGAAACTGCTAGGGAACATGTAAGCACGGGATCAAGGAGACTGCAGTGGGAACGGGTAAACACAATGAAAAGTTACAGAGATATAGTGGTAGGAATGATGACAAACTAAATTAGGCAGGGAGTTAAAACCTAAAAGCGGCAAAGAGAGGACTCAGATCACGACTAACTTAAATGTCTACGACACAAACAGTAGAAGTATGAGAAACAAAATGGATGAAATCAGGGCGTTGGCATGTACCGAAAAAATCGATATAATAGCATTCACCGAAACATGGATAAACTTAGACTCACGTGAGTTATTTGTCGAATACCAAATTCCAGGTTACAAATCATTCCATACCGATAGGCAGATTAGGAAAGGAGGTGGAGTAGCAATCTATGTCAGGGATAATCTGAAGTGTGAAATAAATAAGGAAATAAAAATTGAACTGAATACAGAAACAACTTGGATGGAATTATCGATGGTAGGGAAAAATTAATCATAGGAGTAACATATAGACCTCATAATCTTGATAGAGTTAATGAGCGAACTTCTTTGGGATGAAATGCACAGGGCATCCAGATAATAGCAAAGTTTGTATAGTAGGCGACTTTAACTTTAGTCAAATAGACTGGGTCGACTTTACGTGTAACTCAGTGTCATAGGATTTTATTGAAACAGTTCAGGACTGTTTCCTAAGTCAACATATAGCCGAACCCACCCGGGGTAATAATGTATTCGATTTAGTTCTGTCAAACAGAGAAAACCTCATTAGCAATGTCGAGGTAGGGAATGAACTAGCTAACAGCGATCACAAAGAAGTGAGATTCAAAGTAGAATTTAATGTCAGTCGCAAGGAAAATTCCATTCAAATCCCAGATTTCAAAAGGGCAAACTTTGATAGTTTGAAAGGGCAGCTGAGAGAAGGGGTATCACGTTTGGGGGTGAATTAACCTCCTCAAATTAGGTGACCTCACACACTGTGCCCACAGAGGTGCAACCTCACTTTACCTGGTGACTTGACAATGATAACTTCGCAAAATATAGCGGTTGAGGTTGACGAGTTCCACAACAATTTGAATAATTAGTTATATAATGTACATAGGCAGAACATACCATACAGAAAACTCAGATCAAATAACAATGACCCCAAATGGATAAATAATTATTTAAAGAATATTATTGGACAAAGGAAGACTAGAGGTAGGAGAATAAATCGTGGTGATGTTTACCTCTGGGAATATTTTAAGGTATTGGCCAATAGGGTTAAGAATGAGATAAGAAAAGCAAATTAGAATAATGAACTGAAGATAGCAAGGGAGGCGAAGTCAAACCTCAAAGGATTCTCCCAAATGTATCAAACTAAAACACGTGACAAGATTGGACCAATACAGTCAGATACCGGGGAGTTAACGGATAACGATGGAGAAATGAGCAATAATCTGAACAGATATTTTTCAACAGTTTTCACCACTGAAAATTTTAACATGATACCCAAGGCACCAACTATATGAAGAGTTAGTGAAGAAAATAGAGTAAGCGAGATAGTAGTGACTAGTAAAGATGTTAGTAAGCAAATAGACAAACTAAAGCCTAATAAGTCACCTGATCCAGATGAAATATTTGCCAGAGTATTAAAGGAATGTAAGGAAGAGCTTAGTATGCCCTTAGAAAATTTAAAATGTCATTAAAAACGTGTGAAGTACCAGAACCCTGGTGGATAGCTAATGTGATACCAATTTTCAGGACGGGAGACAGATCACTATCCTCTAACTACCGTCCAATCAGTTTAACATCAATTGTAGGCAAATTGCTGGAAGCAATAATTTCAAACTCTATTCGAAATCACCTGGAGAAGCACAAGTTGATCAATGATTCCCAACCTGGCTTCACAAGTGGGCATTCGTGTCTGATTAATCTATTAACATTCTTTTCAGTTGTTTTCGAATCAGTGGACGACGGGCAAAGCCTTCAACAGAGTCCCTCCCTAAGACTAATACGAAAAGTGGCGGCTCATGGAATTGAAGGAGATATTCTAAAATGGATTAGGGCGTGGTTACAGGACAGGAAACAGCGAGTAAGCTTTAACGGCAGTAAATCCGATTGAGGTAACGTCACTAGTGGAGTACCCAAGGCTCAGTACTTGGCCCATTATAATTTATTATATACACAAACGGCATAGATATAGGCGTAGACAGCAACATAAGTAAATTTGCTTATGACACTAAAATAGGGCGTATAATTAAATCTGACGAGGACTCCGCAAAACTACAGGAAGATCTAAACAAATTTTTTGAATGGTCTGAAAAATGGCAGATGAAATTCAATGTGGACAAATGTAAAGTACTTAGTCTAGGAGATGCAAACCGAGAAACCAGATATCAGATGAACAACGTTGTTATAGAGAAATTCGACTGTGAGAACGATTTAGGAATAATGATAAGTAGGAATCTTAAACCAAGTTAACAGTGTGTACAGTATTTGCTCGAATCAAGGCTAACAAAGTACTTGGGATCATACAAAGGAATGTTAGTTACAAGACTAGCGAGGTGATCCTAAAACTACATCTTGCGCTCGTGAGACCTCACTGGAATTACGCAGTTCAGTTCTGGTCACCGTACTACAGAATGGATATAGAATCCCTAGAAATAATCCAGAGGAGAATGACAAGACTAATCCCGGGCATTGGGAACCTTGAGTACAGAGACAGGTTTAAGCATCTTAATTTGCACTCCCTTGAGAGACGTAAGAGTGAGGGGCGATTTGATCGAAGTGTATAAATGGAATTCAGGGATAAACAAAGGGGACATAACAAAGGTACTCAAACTATCCAACCAGGAGCGAACTCGTAACAATGGTTTTAAATTAGACAAATTAGATTTAGGCTCGAAATAGGTAAACACTGGTTTGGTAACAGAATAGTGGATGAATGGAACAAGTTACCAAATATCATCATTAACTCGAATACGCTGGATAGCTTCAAACATAGGGTGTGAAAGGGACTGCCCAGTATGGACCAATAGGCCCGGTGCAGTTTTCTCCATTCTTATATTCTTATGTGTCTGGTATGAATGTTAACACCTTTACTACTCATAAGATAAAACCTTTACTCAGCGTTTATATTCACATTTCTCCTCTCACTTCTAATTAAACTTCCTGAGTCAGAATCTTAAAATTTTATAAAGATATAAACGAATTTCATATACAAAGTTAAACTCATAAAAAATATTCACAAAATACATATTTCAAGTAGATAAGACCATGATAATTTATACAGCACAAAAATAAAAAATAAAAATCAGTGAACTTAGCACAGCATGTGAGTTTAATGTTCAAGAGAAATATACAAACATAATTAGCAAATAAAAAACAAAATATTGGCTCAAAAAATCTTAAAATTAATGAGAGTAATTTTCACCTGTAAATTTTCCAGCAGAGGCCGAGTTATTGATAGTGCTGCCCCCTGTTGACGGTTCTACTCAATCCTCCTTTATCCAGTGATTGTTTATCTGTCCTTACTCCCCAGTCACCCGCCCTTACTCCCCAGTCACCCGCCCTTACTCCCCAGTCACCCGTCCTTACTCCCCAGTCACCCGCCCTTACTCCCCAGTCACCCGCCCTTACTCCCCAGTCACTCAACTCTTTTCTCGTCATGCCCCCACACTTACTCCCCAGTCACCCGCCCTTACTCCCCAGTCACCCGCCCTTACTCCCCACCTCAACTCTTTTCTCGTCATGCCCCCACCTTCCCATTCTCCTCCCTGACCCGTTTAATCGGATTTTCTCTTATCTCCCTTCTTCATCCCCATCTTCATTCCCATCCTCCTCTCTATTCCCCGCACGAGAATATGACATAACAATAACATACCTTGTCTAGTTGTCTGGTCATCAACAACATACCTGAAACATAGAAACAAAAGGTTAACGAAGAAAAAAAAATACAATAAAATAAAAGCTTGTCATTGAAGTTTAAGAGGTTTTATGACTTAATGTATTGTATGTAGAAAAAAACACAGATTTTTATTATTTTTTGTTTAATTATTTACAAGTACATTTTAAGTTCATATTTATTTATTTATTTAATTTTTTTATTAATGTTTGATTGTTTCTTGTATAATTTTAAATCGGTTTATAATCACTTTTTAATATCAAGTTTTAATAATTTTAATTGGTTGAGATATATAAATTTAATTTCTTTACTTCGTTTGTTTTGTCTTTCGTCTGCGAGTCATTTATTCATCTTTATTTAGTTTCCTTTATCTCTAGTCTCTTTGTAACCATTATTTATCCTATTCTATTATTATTGTTTATTTGTTTCTCCCATAAACCCCAAATTTCCTTCTTTCTGTGCTAGAGGTCACGGTCTGGCTGACTCACTCGTCTCTATCACAAATGGATTGAGGTAAAAGTGGAACTGGGTGGTGGTGGAGGATGGTGGGTGGTGAAGGATGGTGGTGGTGGGTGGAAGTGGATGGTGGTGGTGGTGGGTGGTAGCGGATGGTGGTGATGGAGGTTGGTAGTGATGGTGGTGGGTGGTGAAGGTGGTGAAGGTGGTTGTGGTGGTGGGTGGCGGTGGTGGAGGAGTGACTGTTGGTGGATGGTGGTGAAGGATGGTGGATGGTGGTGGAGGTTGGTAGTGATGGTGGTGGGTGGTGAAGGTGGTTGTGGTGGTGGGTGGTGAAGGTGGTTGTGGTGGTGGGTGGCGGTGGTGGAGGAGTGACTGTTGGTGGTAGGGGTGTTAGTGGATGGTGATGGTGGATGGTGGTGGTGGTGGAGGATGGTGGTGGTGGAGGTTGGTAGTGATGGTGGTGGGTGGTGGTTGGTGGTGGTGGTGGTACTGGTGGTGCTTGGTGGGTGGTGAGTGGTGGTGGGTAGTGGCAAGTAAGAAAGGGGTAATGGTAATTAGTGGCCGGTAGAGGTGTTGGATGTGAGTGGTGAAGGATGGCAGTGGGTGGCAGCAGCAGTGGGTGGCAGTGGGCGGGGAAAAAGCACCCTCTGCATTGTTCACTCGGGCCTCGTGAATTAAACGTAGAATCCAATAGCAATATTGTTGTTTCATTAAGCTCTGAGCTATG